CAGCGAGACTAAGGGAAAAAGCAAGGCTCAGCTATTTCCCTTGAGGCTGCACAGACTCAATCATTATCCCCTTGGCGTGTGGGGGCTGTGCCTGTAACTCAAGGCACTACCCCTCGACCTGAAGGGGGGGTAGTATGCTAACATAACGTGGGTACATAGTAAAAAACATTGCTTCGTAACTTAAATTGTGGTCCTTAACAGCAATCCGGTAAAAGTGCAACACCTTTAATCTTCTGCACGCTCAGGCAAGCCTGTCATGCCCACACAACACCAAACAATGCCTAAAGCCGTAAATTAAACGTCAAACCTGGAACCCCAAACTCCGCACCCCAAACACTATCTCAAAATCCCTAAACTCTAAATAGTGCAGTGGTTTCCATTGTCTTGTCCATCTATTGATTGCCTATCACCTTGCCTGGGGTGTCAGCACCTCCCCCTGCTCCAGCACACTGGTGAATGTCCAGGCCATGGTGGAGGCCTGCTCAGCCTGGAACACTTAGGGTTTAGGGTTTAGGGTTTAGGGCTTAGGGTTTAGGGTTTAGGGTTTTAGGGTTTAGGGTTTAGGGCGTAGGGCTTAGCGTTTGGGGTTTGCCACTTGCATGGCTGAGGCAGCATCGCAAGGTTCAATCCGGAACAAATGAGAATGAAAAGCTCGTTTGGGGTTTAGGGATTAGGGTTTAGGATTTAAAATTTAGGGCTTAGACTTAGAGTTTGGAAGCACTTCAAATCGGGTTACCCTAGGCACCCGGGAGATACATGGGGAATATGAAGAGATTAAGGAGCAATGTGGGTATCATCTTGAGAAACTCCCACACATCTTGATCAGTGATGTCTACTGTTCTATGATGCTGCTAAACACATGGAAACTCATGATTACTTTTGCCCAAAGGATTGTGATGTTACGGGTCGCAATGCGTTCAGCAGAGACATGCCAAAATAATCCGAATCCCTGAAGAGACACGGCAAGAAAACTGATCCGCAATTGCTGGCAAAAGATACATTCCTTACATCCGCTAGTATCTTCTATTTCGGATAGCCCATAGTTGGGCTGAGCCCAACTATACTAGTATCCTGTTCTGCCATTATCCATTCAGCACTATTCATGCCATGCTGATGGACTGCCAACAACTTCATCCAAACTGTTACTGGAGGGAACTGGATTTTATTTCATCAGGACCGAATTCAAATATATTTATTGGAGAATCTTTTAGATACCTCAATACCCCGAAACTAGGGGATTCTAGTGATTCCCAGAAAGGGACCCTCTATCCCTATACAGCCTTCTATTACCCCTATATACCTGCTTTTGCGCCCTTAAACTGTTTTGAAGATCTCCACGTATATAACATGGCCGCTGCCTGTCTCTGCCGAACTTCTTCGTCTTCTTCTGCCTCGCCCCACTTCGAGGTCAAGGCGAAGACTAAGAAGGTTATGTGGGGATTATAGGGGTTGCATGGGGATGACAGGGATACTGGGAGGTTTAAGGGATTCTGTACGGCTTTTGGGAGCCGATATAGGGGCACCCCTAGGCTGTGCTACGCAATGATGAATGTCCGGAGGAATCACATCTAATATAGGGCTCAGAACCTACAGCGGGCTTAGGGTGCAGGAGCTGTATTGAGAGCAATCCTGTTTACTACAATCTTGGAAAAAAGGGCATCCGCAAGAGCGGATGTAGAGGTGGCCATGCAGGTTAACTCTTCGCAGGTGAGCTACAGTCTAAACTCCTAGTATCCCCCTTGATAAGCAGCACTACAGTAAGTTCCCCTATACAGTCCCCTATAGAATCTCCCTGTAAGGAGTTTAGGCTATGGCTCAGGTGGCCTCAGCGGCAAAATCGTACTCATCAAGGCCGCAGAGTCTGTTCATCTCCGCCTGGGCTGATTGAGCAAAGCTCTTTCAGCCATCAGCTTTAGCTCCACGGTTGGAAGTAGAGAACGAGGGAATATGTTGGGATTATATAAGCCTCTGTCTAGACTCCTAGTGTCCCCCTTAATAAGACTCTATAATACTCCCCTATATAATCCCCTATGTATCCCATTTAAGTAGATTAGACTATAGCTCATATAGGGATAACGGAAAAGTAAATCGAAACTGCTATCTTATACTAGGGTATATATTGGGGTTATAATAGGGAATAGGGGGATATATTATATAGGGCTTCTTTTCCCATATTCCCTACTAAGAAGAGTAAGGGACCCCCACCCCGATCATGGCGAGCTTGGCCGGGTCAGTCTCTATCCACATGAAAGCCGGATCCTGGCAGAAAGAAGACAGGCTTCGACTATGAATGCCAGGCGCATCCCCAAAGGTCCTTCATGAACCAGTGCCTCGGCGAGGGAGTGCAGGTATAACAGGTATTGCATGCGGATTAAGAAGGGATCCCGTTGGGACGCTAATAATACAGATAATTACGAGTTGAGAGCGGAATGGAAAAGCAAGCAGAAGATACTATCTGCTTTCTAGGGCCGATGACGATGGATTCTGGTTTAAAGAGGGGTTAGAACAATCAGCGAGGGGATGAACGTGGCATGCAAAGGCCACGATAAAGATAGCCGTCAGGCGGCATTTGCGATCTGGCATAGTTCCTGCGCTCATCCCCACTGCCACAGCACCATGAGCTGTTGTTTGCAAGCATGGCATCTCTCAGCAGGCTGTCCTCGACACAGCGCCAAACCTTACAGCACACAATAACGCAGCGACAAGGACAGAACCTCACTGCAGGGCAGGTATGTGTGTGTAGCGCAGCTCACTACCACAAAACAAAGGGTTCAATGGAAGCGACCCTTTTGAAATCTGATAAAGCCCTACGGTAAACCAAGCTGCGACCAAGAGACTTTCGCACTAACTCCACAAGGCCTGCTGCATCTCCATACTTCGGCTCAGGCCTGTGAGCCCGCGTTAATCACCGCAAGGGCTGTCGCGAGACAAACATTAAGGTCACTCACACAGGACATGTCTGAACCTAAGCTACTGCATGTAACTCCACGTCCGGACAGCACACTGCTTCCAAGCAAAGACCATACTACCATATTTCTACAGAAACACAAGAACTCAGTTTGGCAAACTGGCAGGGTGACCTGGTGAGATACTCGATCACCTGGCGATAACCTCGGAACATTCAAGGGGAGCAACTCTCAAATCTGATGCCCTCTGCGGTTTGATGGGCTCAGGGTTCAGGACAAATTTAGGCTTCAGGAGTTACTGCGGCCATTCTTGGCATGACAAGTCATATGATCACTCCTGTTGCTACTACATCTCTCCCTATCTCTAAGTTTTGCCCATGGCTAGGAATCAAATTCAGTCGCTCTGACCTCTTGCTACACGACAGACAGAACAACAGACGTGAAGTACACAAAGGCTCATTTTCAATGGCCTGGCCGGTAGAAGAAGTATAACCCTACAATGGAATTCCAGTACTTGAATTTTCCCATGACAAAGTGTAGGGCAAAAGGCGGTTGGCACCCCTTTTCCATCTGGGCGGTTGGCACCCCTACATCTGGAAAACTTGCAGTGAAACAAATTTCCGGGATACTGAAAAAGTTGTGCTCCCAGGGCCGCTCCAACATCTCCTACTGTTCTGCTGTTGATACTAAAGATCCTGCATGACCATAGTATACTATTATCCCATAATTCCCAACTTATAATTATACTATTGATACTAGTACTACATTATTATTCCTATTATATTATTGTTACTAGTATTTTATTATTATTACTATTGTATTTACTATTATCCCATAATGCCCAACTTATAAGGTACTTAGGGTCATGTACCAACCGCAGCAGCTGGGCTCCTCCGTGCTCTCAGCCTTTGCTCTCAGATTGAAAAACCTGTTGGAGAGGTTCAACTCTGGCCTCTGCCATTCGGGGGACTATTCGCACCCACCACAATTCGTAGATGCATTCTATGAACGCGCGTTTGCAGATACTTCTCCTTTGTGCATCATGTACGCATGTTACGGATACTTATTTTGAATACCTATATAAGCCCGCCTGCCTTCCATTGCGTTTTCCATGTTATTTCCATTTTCTGAAACAAAGGTAAGGCTACGGCCAATGGCATCTGCCGCAGGCGTGTCGAGAGATACAATGCCTTCGCGCTCTTGTGGAACCCACATGCTTTTCATCAGCACAGGGATCTCTTAAGGGCTTTCTAGGTGTAGTCCGTAATCCCCTACCCCTCATACTAAAACCCCCCTCCACCCCAATTTCAGATATTTCCTGCTTATACATTAACGAATACCAGCATGGGAATTTTCACTAATGGGATTGGTGGCGGATCTAATATTCCAGCGAAGGGCTGCGCTCATGGAATCCCCCAAGAACCCCTAAGTCCTAAACCCCAACTTTTCGCTCGACTCACCGTGGCGGACCAGCGCGCCTCTCTCCAATAGTGTGGCCTCAACATTAGGGTTTCAGGTTTATGGGGAAAGGAAAAGAAAATGGAAACTACTGCGTTCTTTGGGGGTTTAGGCTGCAGCGGTTAACGTTAAACATACCCCCAATATGAGGACTCTACTTATGGGTCTCTCATGGGGAACATTTAGTGGAGGGAGTTGGGAGTGTCTGATATTGTTATGAAGGGGTTACAAGATTCTCAATTTGCAATGGCAGCAGGTATGAGTATGTAAGTACATGCAATTACTAATGGCAACAAGTGCAGATAATAATGATGGCAGTGCACAAAGATCGTGATACTAAAAAACACAAAGAATCCAAAATCAGCCCCCGGCAACTTCCTCAAGCAAGCCCTTTTGCAGCATGACCACGCAGCGCCTGGTGGCGTCACAGCTTCCAACATCTTCCACTTCCCAATCCAATCCGCTCCAGTTCTACCATGGTCTACATATGTGGGCACTCATCCCGTGTATACTCATGTATTCTGCACATAGCCTGTACAAACATGTATTTTGCAATCCCAAGCTGAAGACCGGGGAGCCTGCCTGTCCTCAGCTGACTAAAGGTCTGGCAGAATCTCCGTCATGTGTCAGCTGCTGCAAGGTCAGTCTCTTGATGCCAGGCGTCTATTCTGTGAAACAGCGCGGGGCGACTGTTGGGACTCAGGAAGAAAGCTCGCATGTCATAGCCTTAGCCGCAGAGCCTAAAACCACAGAGACTCGGACGGTGGGATGCAGCATCACACATGCTTAGACTATAGCTCACATCTGATTGAGACTAGCAACGTTGCCGTGAACCCCTTCCAGCTTGTTTGGGCTCACAGCGCGCCACCTCCGGGGCAGCTTTTCACCAGCAGCAGTATCAGTAGCAAGAGTAAGCACAACAAGTCGTCATGACCTCAGTGGTGAATTAATAGCTGTCATCGTGAAGGCATGGACTTTCCCAGAACAACTACCATGAAAACAAGTCATACATAGTGACAATTTAGTAAGAGTAGTAACAGTTCTGCAAGAAGCAGAGGCGGGCTCTCTGAGGCCTCCAGTTGCCTGGACAGCTGCCGCCTGAAGCGTTGCTATGTGAAGCTGATCACAGCTGGGAGCCCCGTATGACATGGATATATGGACGTAAGAAGAGGAAGAGATATACAGATATACATAAATACATATGGGTTTGTGCCATTAAGGGTTTCCAAAATCAGGGCCAGCTTTTTGGAAAGTCTCTATAACAAGGATTGAATATACTGGAGTCTATATCGGGGCCCTGACCTTATGGAAGCCCCATATAATACATTGATAGCTTCTTGAGATTGAGTGTCCCTTCTCGACGCATTTTGATAGGAGCAATCTCCTCGGGACCGCGCTGCTACACACATTATTGAGAAGACCCCTCCTTAGGTTCCAGCCAGTTGTTCCGCGTGATTCGCTCAGCCTGGCAGGGGCCAAATATCTTACCGTACATCCCAATGCAAAGCTTAGTCTGCCTTTGCGGGATCGATGGCTGACAGCAAGGAGACTGCACCATCCCAGTCCATTGCATCCTGCAACATCCGCTAATGCACATGCTTCGGGACAAGTGCCCTGACTTGTTGAAGGCCTGATAGGGCCGCAGCTCTTCGGAAATCTGTGCTTGTACTTGCGGATTCTTGGCCCAGGTCCACATGCACATTCTTCTGTGTGAAAAGGGCTTACGCTGAGGCCACGGCAGATTTGGTGGCATCCGGTTCGCCATTGACAAGCCAATCCAAGTACATGCCTTAGACCGGCAACTTGTTCGAATGACCCTGCCACGCATCGCAGGAAACCCCTTGCGGCCAATTTTGAAACGTAGACTCTATAGTTGCGCTGCCTGGCACTTAACAGCCAAGATGCAGGAGCCACCTGCGGCACAACAAGAACATGCTCCAAGTGATCTGGAGAACCACCGCAGCTTCAGGATTGAATGTTTCAACTGCTTTGCTTCCGTTCGAGGTTGAAATCAAAGCACGGGCCGCATGCAGGCAAGTCACCGACCACAATTGGCACCTGCCCCTTGTCCAAGGCGGTGTCGATGTATCCTCAGGCTCTCAGACGTAGCCACAACACTTTCATCGATCCGCATCTTCCGAATGAGTCCACAACGGAGGGCTTCACGCGTCCACATGCCAGCTGTACAGGGCCTAGGATGCCACGGAAGGAGAAGAGAAAATCCCTGTTCGCAGTGTTTTGGGGTCGAGCCTGTCAGGCTCCAGCCAATCCTTAGAGTTGACGGACTGCATGCGCCCCTCGTTCCACTCCAAAAGAGCTGCCAAGCATCTATCAAGTGGATTGGCCACCTGTCCTACACCAACAGGGAGACACACCAACATCTATGCTGCGCTAGGTGAGATTACAAACCATCCAGGCTTTATGGCATTGTTATTCGGCCTGCTCCTCTCTCGATGGCTTGTTGGAGCCAATGTCCAGGCCTCAGGTTAGGTACCCTGAATTCTGAATTCACAGTGCATCCAGCGCAGCTGGCTTTCAAACAGAAGTGACGTACTCGCGGGTAGTAGGTTAGTAGGGAGTGCAATCACCGATCCCAACAGGAGTCCTCATATAATCCGTAATATAATCCGTCAACATCAGATTTGTTGCTGTGTTCCATTTTACATTCCTTCATTTCCTGCCAACCACCAGCAACGTGAGCTCTCCGGCCTTTGTACACTTGCACCGAATCCGCGCTGATGAGGCAGGCCTGGCCATTGGAGCATTGCTGGCTTACTGTCATGTATGACAGCTACAGGAAATCAAAAGCATGCATGCTACCCTCTACATTTCACAGTCGCATGGACCTTGGGTTGAAGAGGTATGTTCTGTGTTCTGTACTGCGACTATGACTGCCAAATACGTGTCTCCACCGTACCCACGTTGACATACTGTTTTGGGGCTTTCCAGCAAGCAAGCGAAAGCGCCTCCTGTCCCGACCTCCGAAAATCATCCATCAGCTCTGCTGCAACATCTGACTTGCCCACAGCTGTGGGGCCTGCACTCACCATCATGGAGTATGGAAGTGGGAGAAGCTTAACAAATCTCCTGCAGAACAACCTAGTGCGAAAAGAGAAGGCACACAGGCACCAGCAGGGTGAGATTAAAGCATAGGCTTCTGGTCCAGGTTGGAGAACGGCCATCACAATACTCAATGCTGTTGTCATCGAAGCCGTGCCTGCGATCACCACCACAGGCTTCCGGCCATTCTGTCCTCGTCCAGCCTGTATCTGTGCTGTGTGCAAATAAGGTGGGACAATGGACACAAGAAATGCTGAATGAATCTCTGTGTGTACGAAGCACTGGTACGGGCAACTTGTAGATTCATTTAGCCTGTCAAGAAAATTAAAGAGGGCAAATATGCTGAAGTGTGTGCGTTTATTGCGTACCCACCAAGAATGAACGCTCACGCTTCGGGAGCCGGGAGCTCACATGCAAAACTCAATGACCCCTATCTGACAGCCTTTGGTCGCAAGGCTGACTAGCTCTTGCCAGCTGCTTCCCCCAAAACATGCCATCTTGTAAATTCTTGTAACATGTGGAAACCCCTCAGATTTCTGGACTCAACTCATTGATGGGACAGAAGTCGGGCTTCAGGAAATTGCAGCGAATCCAGGCAGACTCGAAGCAGCTGTTGCAGTTTCTACATTACGAAATCTATCTGAATGCACCACATTTTCATAAGCATCTGTCAAGCCAGAGCTCGAATGCGTCAACTGCTTAGGATTCCCATCCCTATTGTCCGCCACTGACGTCTGACGTCTCGCTTGACAGCATGCTTTTGGAAAGGGCATCTCGATGGCACATCGTGTTGCCCAGGGTTTAGGGTTTCGGGATATAAGTTACCCCAATAATGGAGAATCAAATGGAAAAGAAAATGGAAAATGATATGGAAATTGGGATTGTGTAGGGGTTATATTGGGGTAACACGTTTGGCCTGGTCTGTTTCCAGCCTAGGACGGTGGGGTGGCTTTGCGTTGAAGGCATTGGACCCCTGAGTGGTCGCATTCTCCTTTCCACACATCTCTTCTTTTGGGTGTGAAGTTCAGCTTCTGCAATTGTCCCTCACGGGCTCTGCATAAGCCCCGTGTGTCTCTGGCCGTGGGTAAGTCTAGCTGTGGGTACATCCAGCCATGGCTACGCAATGACCCCTCTTTGAAACAGCCCCATCTTAAAAACAATGATCTTTCAATTGGCATTCCATAATCCCCTTTCGGCTCCTTTTTGCATGAAAACTCTCAGAACTGTAAACCATCCTGGCCTTATACTTCCGGACTTTCCGCCGAAGCCAGTGAAGCCATTGGCCAAGGCCCGCACAGCAGGAGGCCTGCAATGTGGACCCAGCAAGCATCCACCAACACTGCTCCGGAAGTAATCCGTTTGTGCTAAAAGATGGTAATTTCCCTAAATAGGGGGACCCCAATTAAGCCCTAAAATAATATAGTAAATATCATAACGACCCCCAAAAGGTTCCCCTAATTTTGGGACACCCCCAGATTCATTTCTGGAGCTTCCATCCTCGGGAGGGTCCATATCTGCCTGATCACCACTAGATAAGCGCAGGATAAACTGAGAATAAGCTGAGGATGCGTGCGTTCCAAGCCTGTCTTGCGACCGCAAACACATAGGCACGCAGGCCCAAAAACATTGCTACATTGGGGAGTAGCTCTATCAGTCCCAAGGCATAAGCACGGTACTTAAGTACATGCGCCTAACTGCGAATCTGCCACACTCACTCAAGTCTACTGAGAAGCTGCTAGTATTGGGACCCACTTCTGTAGTTGTTGCCCTTTTCTTAGGTAAGGTCAGACGCGCCCTCACAGCTTGTCACAATGACAAATGATGACAACAGGTAGTTTCATCACATGTTCCACATAATACAAAGACTTGGTCTTGCTTTGTGCAGAGATCAGGGATCGACACCCCACGAAACGAAGCTGTTCGTAAGCTCCGAGCCATGCTCTCGACTCGGTAAGCACCTGGGATTGAGGGGTTCAGCATAGGGCGTAGGGGGAAATCATGGGAACCTTCGACTCCAATGCATGCAAGTTGGGTATGTCCAGCACACCCACGCCGCCCTGGAAACAAGAACGAGCCTCTATAGCACCTAGCCGGTAGATTATTCCCGAACAGCCAGGGTGGGGTACTATTGGCAACTGTGGGGATGCGTGGGGCCTCCAGTTCAAACATGTTTTTGGCTTCCTTGGAGTACCTGACCTTTTCCTTATTGGCCTTGTGATCACGCGCCAGGACCTTGTTTTGCTAGCATTGTCAGTGCAGGTAACGTCACGGAACACCCATGACAGCAGCATTGGTGTGAACACAGTACACAGACAACAGCAAGTACAACGGAAGGCATAGCA